AATCTCCGAGATGGGGCCAGCAACAGTCCTATCCCACACAGCCAGGGAGACTCACTGAGATGGTAAGGTAATAACTGCAAAGTCCTCGTTAACTCCTGCCGTGCAATCAGGGGGAGCATCGTAGTAACAATGTATGCAAAACATCTAAAGGAGGCTTGGCATACAGCTGGCACTCAATAAATATTAGTGTTCCTCCCTCGACCACATTCCATCCTGCTGCAAGGCTGGGACACACACAAGCAATGGATCTACTCTCCTGCCCTGGATTTCACTCAAACCCGACTTTCCATGGGAAAATAAATAATCGCAAAAAATTGCTTATTTCCAAACATACTAAGACTTTCTTTTCAAGAACAGCAGCTCACATTGGAGCATTTTCATGTGCCAGGCCCCAAAAGCAGTTCACATGTATCAGTACATTTCATCCTCACATGACCCTCTGCGGGAGCCCGGATTTTCAGAGGAGCAGAGCAGAAGGACTTGCCCAAGGTCAAGGAGATGGCAAAGAGCAGAGCCTGACCTGAACCCATCTGTGTCAGACGCAAGGACACTTAACGGTCTCTTTCCTGGGCGCTGGGGCCTGGCACACATCACCTACGACTTTTTCCTCCTGCTCCCACGCCTTTTCCTTTGAACTTGGGTTTTGTTGGGGTTAAGCTTATGTTTTACTTTTAGTTTTCCCCAAGGTATTTTCTTGTTGGTTCTGATAGATGGGGACCAGGGTCCACAGAAATGGGGGAAATGCAAAGAAAACAGGGAGCATTCTCCTAAGTGATAAGACAGGGCAGTGTTCACCAAGAGACAGAGAGGAGGTCAGCCCTTACACCATGCACCCTATGCAGTCCAATGATGTGGGCACCGTGCGTTTTTGTCTTTGTGCATGCAGATTTATGGCCCCACTGACTACAAATAGCTCCGGGTGAGAGGGAAGCTCCTGACTACAGAGATATTCTTAAGGATATTTTGTTTTCTGGGGAAACACACACACGCACGCGTGCACAATGTCAGATATCTGCCCCAGTTCAAAACACCAAATTTCCTTTCCTATTAAAACCATGGATCAAAGCTGGACAATCCCCAGCAAACAGGGACTAACGCTTTGGCTTCTTATTTGCAAAACAGCAAGTATTTTGTCACGTAAACTTTGAGAAGATTAAAGAGAAAAAGAACTGATAAACGAGAGAGAATATCTAGAGTGTGACGAGACTGGAAGGAAAGGAAATGTACATATACAATTACATATATACCCCTATGTGTCTAATAATTTCTACTTTTATTTATCTGTTCATTTAACATTTTCCAGTATATGATTAAGCAGATGGCAATATCTGCAGTAAGATAAATATTGTTCAGTGATGCATATTTCTGTATACAAAGTGTAATACATTGCTCAAACAAAATAAAACCCTATTGAGAGTGTGAAAAAAAGAAAACCCAACCATCAATAAAATACCCTCTGTTCTCTCTGGTCACAAAACATTTGGATAGAAAGAGAAGCCACACCTCTCAGGCTGTTAGAACCAGAGGTGATCTGGATACAGTGAACCAATTTTTCAGAGTCACTGCTGATGTCTGAAAAACTCCTGAGTTATCTGAGTAAGGTGAAGTATGAGGAATTTCTGCCAAAAAATCAACAGTTCCAAGGGGTCAGACGATACAAAAACCCCACTCCACATTAAAGATGCATGTGTATGGGAGGGCGATTAAAAATTCGGCTCCTTGAATGAAACTTACTGTGTAGCACTTTATCTAAGGGCACAAGGAATAAACGCGACTTCAAGAGGATCGCTGGAATCGAAGGGAAAGAAAATAAACGTTCATTACGTGAACACACACAGCTCTCTTTCATTTGTCCCCAATCCATCCAGAACCTGGAGTGTGATCTTTTTGACACTCTCCCCAGTGTGTTCCCTCCCTTCATAAGGGAGCCCATCTGTTTCTTAAATTCTGAGATGACAGTCAAATCCACAGCTTACAGGAGACCCAGCGAAGGTCTCGGTGTCTCAGCCACAGCTCTGCTCCAATCCACCCGATAATTCTAATATTTAAGAGCTCTAGAAGAGGCAGAGAGGGAAAAGGAGCTTGCAAATCTTTTATAGATATGTCCATCTTGTCACCATCCTCATGTCGTCTCTGACTCTGCTTGAGAAACTGTGTGTTTCTTCTTGGCTCCTTAAAATGCACCAAAAATACAATCAGGTCCCTCCAATGGGGTGCCGCTCCCCAGACATAAAAGGTGGCAAGTGCAGAGGCTCTGGGACGGTAGGCACAAGGAAGCAGCAAGGTCTTGCTCAGAAAATGCTCTGGACACAGTGCCTGCCGGACACTCTTTGGGACACAGCCACCAGCACCACCACCGCCACCAATGGGGCCACAGACTCTCTCTGCCTGCAAGAATTGCACCTGCCCCACTCCACCCCACCCCCACCCTCCAGAGAGCTCAGAGATGAAGCACCATGTCCCAAGCATGTGTCTCACCAGTTCTTTAAGAGAGCCATCTGGAAAATCACAGGGATTTTTTTTTTTTTTAAACATCCCACTCCTGAATCTATCTCCAAGGCATCACGCTAGCAGCCCCAACAGGGTCTGCCGACAAACCACATGTTGCAAGGGCCTGAGTGGCTTGCGAAAAGGTCTGGTCCTCTCCCAGCCTGCGGCCCAAGCTCAGGCATGTCGTTGGACTTTGGGAACAGCCTGCCCCCTTCTGGTCTCCTTGAGCTCCATGGAAGGGCAGGGGCTGGGTGGGCACGGCTAGAGGAGGACCCACCCCCGGGGCCCTCCAGCATGTCTGCGCTGTGATTTCAGGATCTAGCAAGGCATGGGGGTAGATGTGGGGCAGGGAAAGAGAGGAGACAGACGAGCAGTTAAAATAAAATACAAATCCAGGAGACATAACAGTTCACAACAGCGCAGTAGACACCCTCAGAGAAAGGGGGAGGACCAAAAAAACAAACCAACAAAATCTGTCTATAACAGAAGGTGAAGAAATTGACACCTGGGGAGATGGGGGAAGGGGGGGGTAGTAATTAAGCCTGCAGATGAAAGCAGAGTTTCAAAAAGCAGTGCAACTCTGCTGCTGGAACTGGCATGCCAAAAGGAATAAAAAAAGGAAATGGCAAGCTCCCACCTACCTTCCCAACTGCAAACCTCTCTGCGGCTGAGCTGGGAGGAGAGAGAATAGGCTACTGAACTGAGCACACACAGCCGGGGTGTGGACGAAGTACTCAAAACATCCAGGACGCAGGAAGAAATCCAGGCCTCCTTCCTTCTCTCTGCTTATTTCAACAGGTGGTCTTTGCACCCAAAGATACACCTCCTGGTGCCTGTCAACCCCAGACGCAAAGGGTACAGGAAGCCTCATGCCACCGTGTTCAGCCTACATGTTCCCACTCTGGGCCAGCAGGGCTGGTCCTGAACCCCCTTGCACCGCACCTCCCAGTAGGGCTCCAAATCCAGACCGAACCCCGAATCACATTTCTGCCCAAACACATCACGGTTCACCCCAGGATTTAAAGGCAGTGCCTGGGAGTACCCTTCTCTGGAACTAAAAGGCCACAGGACATTGGGAATGTTCTGACTCTCCATCAGGAATCTCCCTCCACACCCCTCCCCACAAACAAGGGGAAGACGTCCACCTGCTACCCACACAGACAAGCGAGCAACGTGAAATGCCACCATGTCACCTCCTGGGACACAAAGAGCCGCACTCCAGCAAAGAGGGTCACCGCTGATTCCAAGGAAGTTTAACAGATCAGAAAGCATCACGCTGCGTCTGAAGGCACTCTTCAGAGAGGGCTCCCAGGGCGACAAACGACACAGACATGCATTCAGTGCCTAAGGATCCTGAAACTAACCCCTAGCATCTGATGTCCCCCCAAGAGCTAGGAGAACCCCTGTAGGCAAATGGCATGAGGAAGACAGAGACACACTGCACATCGTTATTCCTTAGGACAGACACTCACGCCCACAGGGCACAGCGAGCATGGCCCAGAGCTGGGGACTCTGACCTCCTGTCCTGCGTGTCCTAGCTCAGTGGGCTCAGCAGGGCAGCCCAGAGAAGGTGTGAAAGACATCCCTGGAGAAGTTGGGGACAGGATAGAAAGACACCCACATGGCCCCAGAAGATGGACAGAAAAACCAGTGTCAGAGCTGAGACTGTTCACACCCAAGGAAGGCAAAGAAAACCCAGAAGGGCCAAAGTGGTGATGATGTGGTCAGATACACAGCTGGTGACACTGATTGGCTACACACAAGACGGAGAGCCAGGGACAGCCATCTAGGAGAAGGGGCCATGCCCTGACCCTGGACAGCTGGGTGAGGAAAGTCAGAGAGGGCACTGGGAGAGGACAAGGTTAGAGACGGAGAAGGTAGAGACACGAGCAGCACAGACAGCCAGAGATGGCAGACAGGAGACCTAAAGTAAGACCAGGCGCCCAAGCCTGAATCTTGATTCAGGGAGACGGCTGGGGATTTGGGACACCGATCCCAGACCCCACCTCAGGCCCGGAAAAGACAAGGAGATGGCAAGTAGGGAACGGAGTTGTCTGCACTCAGCTCAGCAAAAACCAAAGAGATGCTGTGAGCACCACCCATGAGCAGCGGCTGAGGATCCCGGGCACGATCCACGCACTCAGACAGTGAGCAAGGCACCAACACCCACATGCACAGTGCAAGTCGGGGCGCCCAGCAAGAGTGACGGGGAACAGGAACCCGGCCAGGCTCCGGTAACCCCCAAAGCGCCTCCTCTGGAGATAACTTCCCCAGACCCCAAGAGGGCAGTCCACAGACTCGGGATGGGGCAGCCCACTGGCCCCCTCCGAGCCTCGGCAGGAACCCCGCCCCGGCTTCCAGGGAAAGAGACAGGGACCCGGCAAGCTTGGGGAGTCCCAGTCTGATGCCCGGGGTTCAAGGGCTGCGGGGGGAGCGTGGGGTCAGGGCTGCCTCCTCCTCACCCTCCCTCTCTCCCTCCCTCCGGGACGCGAGCCGAAAGGGCATCTTACCAGCGCCCGCGCGGGCAGTGCCCCCCGACTGGCCGGCTGCTGCGCTCGGGGCTCTCCGGGGCCGCCTCCCCGCGCCCGCGCCGGGGCCCCCCGTCCTCCGCCGCCGCCTCGGGCTGCAGCCGGCCCGGCGGGCAGGTCCCGGCGCTCCCGGCGCGGGGCCGGGGCCGGGGGCGGTTGCTCCGCGCCGCCGGCCGCTGCGCCCCCGCGGCGCTCCCCGGCCCCGGAGTCGAGGCTGCTGAAATTCCACACGACCAGCGTCTGCAGCAGCAGCACGGTGAGCGCCGCGAGCAGCGCCGAGTGCGAGCGCCGGGCCAGCCTCCGGGCGCACGGCGCCGCCACCATCTTCGGAGCGCGGCGGGCGAGCGGGGCGCGGGGACCCCGGGCGCTCCGGGCCGCCCCCGCGCTCCCCGCGGCTCCCGCGGCCGCCGGCTGCCGCTCGGGCTCGCGCTCGGGCCGCCGCCGCCGCCGCCGCCGCCTCGGCTCGCCGCTGCTCCTCCTCCGCCGCCGCCGCCGCCGCCGCCGCCGCCGCCTCCACCGCCGCGGCGCGGAGTTTTCAGACGGGCAGGGACCCGGACGTCACCAGGAGGAGGGGAAGGCGGGGAGGCGGGGAGCGGGAGGCCGCGGAGGGGGCCGCCGGGCGCGCGCGCTCGGGGAGGGGGCGCGCAGGGCGGGCGGGGGCCTGGCCCGCGGGGCTCCCCTGCCCGCAGCCCTCCGCGGGGGGAGGGGGGGTGGCCGGACGGGGGCTTGCGGGGGGGGGGCGCGGGCCGAGGCGGCGAGGGGCGGGGCCTGGAGGCGGAGCAAGGGAGGAAAAAGGAGGAGGGAAAGGAAGGGGGTGGGGGCGAGCGGAGAGGACGCACGCCCCCCACGACAGAGTAGGAGTGGGGTGGGGGAGAGGGGGACAGTTTCCACGGCGGGGAAAAGGGGCGAGGGCAGAAAAGCAGGGGAGCTTTGGGTGAGGATGGGCGCGCTCCGCATCAAGGGGAGGTCAGGAGGATTTGGGGGTCCTGAGATCCTGCCTTCCTGTGGGACGCCAGCACGAGGCAGCTGAGTGGGGCGGACTCCCCGCCCTGGAGTTTGCCGGCAGGTATACGGGCACAAAGACTGCCGGGCAGGTGGAGACGTGAGAAACGTATCAGGAGTGTCGGAACCGGGGTAGGGTCTCACGCAGCGGGTCCCTGGATCCCTCCCTGGCTTGAAGGGGCAGGGAGGAGGCTATGAATGAGTCTCTGTGAGTGACTCCTGAGTCACACCCAACCCTCTAGAGCCAACGATGTACTAAGTGCTTTACTGAGTCACTTCTCTGGTCCCTAAGGACGAGCAAGCCAAGAGACTCCAAACCCAGTTGGCAAGCAAGTGCTTTCGGTGGTAAGGGGGGACCCAGTGGAGTTTCTCAACCTTCAATGGCTTCAAGGTCCAAAGTCTGGCCCCTGGGCCTTCATCTAGGTCTTTCTTCCAATCCATTCCGAAGCCTGCCTTCCTGACCATGCAGGGTTCAGCTCCTGGGGGAATGGGTCTTGCTTTGCAAAGTGTAGTTCTTTTCCATCTGGGCTGGACTGTCCCAGTGACCTTGAGCCAGGAGGACTCCTCCCTGGGCGGGAGCTTCCTTCTCTGTCAAAGAGAGCTCAGACTGATCATCCCAACGGACTCAAGTTTCATCCCCAGCCTTCTCTGACTCAGTCTTCCCAGTCTTTCTCTCCCTTGTCCTCTAGCCCAGGGCTTTATACGCAGCCACCCTGAACACACCACACGTGGACAGAGGGGGGAGGGGGGGTCCCAGACAGGACTTAGCACTATGAGAATAGAACAGCAGATCAAATCCCCAGCTTGTAAATGAGGGACTCCGGGGTGGAGGGTGGGGGGTGAATGCTTTGCATCTTGTCTGCTGTGCTTTTAAACCTCATCCTAATTTTTAAAGAGAAGAGAGTGGAGGAATAAACAGGATCCATCAGAGAAGGAGGCAGAGAGGGGAAAGAGATGGTTTCACCCACTCAACAGGAATCCATGCATATCAAACTTGTGTCTCACACTGGGGCCAGGTGCAGGGACCCAAAGGTGAGTAAGGCTCAGTCTCCCCTTCAGCAAGCTTGGGGTCCAAAGGGGATCCAGATGTAGATGTTGGTCATTAAAGAGCCATGAGGTCAGTGTCACTTTAGAGATGTGCATAAAGTGCTTTGGTTCATGAGGGTGGGGTGGTAGGGACCACCTAGAAAATGCTTTCTGGACCCACAGAACAAGCCAACCCACTTCCCTGAACTGACAGTATAAACTGTCAGCTAGTGGGGATTCTAAACTGCAGACTAGACTCAGCCTTCAGGGTATCTACAGCCTGGCCAGACATATGGACAGGCATAGGGGAAGTCCCTTTGGGCTCAGCCCACCTAACCAGGAGTGAAATAGAACACAGACAAGCTCTTTGGCTTTCTGTCATCTGTTTATCACTTGGGAATATTTTGGTTATAAGGAATAAAACCTCTATTTTAACTGTCTTAAAAATAAGAGTTTAGTGGATCATGTAACTGAGTATTTCAGAGTAAAGACATCAGGCGAGGTTTGATCCAGCAACTCAGAACTATGACTTCGAATTCCTTTTCTTTCCATCTCTCCTCTCTGCCTTTCAAGGGGTCTGTTTCATTCTGAGGATCTCTCTTCATGTCACAACCTGGCATCAGTTGCTGAGGCTACTTGTGTCCTCTGTTCATTTCTAGCCCACAGGAAGGAGGGTCTGTATTTCCCAGCATTCTCCTCAAAGGTGCAGAGATGCTGGTTGCCTCTAACCAAGCAGGGTAGCCAGGAACATAGAATGCGCTGATCAGCTTGGCCAAGGTCCCATCTATCACCACCGTTGGCACTGGGGAGCAGCCACCTTCTGGATGTTCTATAGGGATCAGGGTCTTATGGGAAGGAGGGAATAAGTACAGGGGAGGCAGGAACCATAATCTATTCCATGGGGCCACTTTGATGCTACATGACCTTGGGCAAGTCCTTCCCCTCCAAGGACTTTGGTTTCTTTAATGCCAAATGATGGACTGGATGAGATGGTCCCCAAGATCATCATGTCATGTCCTCAGAACTCTTCCTCAGTGTCTAAACAAAGCTTCCCAATCCTAGCAAAGGCTGCCCTGGGGACCCTGGGCATCCACGCCCTCCAGCTTCAAGGTCTCTGCTGCATTTTTCCTCTAAGCAACAATGATGTTATCTGCTTCCTGCACATGACACGTTTAACCATGGTGTTCCGGGGCCCATGCTCTGGTTCAGCTCCCTTGGGGGCCACTGGCTGAGAGAGTGAGGTTAAGGATCCAGGCCCCCAAGTCTCTGGAGAGAGAGAGAGAGTGAGAGAGAGAGAGAGTTGTTTGTTTATCTCAACTCATAAAAAGCCATGTGAGAAAAAGGTTTAAAAGCTCCGGGCAGGTTATGGATGCCATAAACAGCTTATGTGAGGTTTTTAGGATGATAAATCACCTGAGATAGAAGGGCAGGCAGGCAAGCTCCTGGGGTCGCCAAGACTATTCCTCCTGCCCTGAGACAGACAGGACCTCAAGCATCTGTAGGAGACGGGGCTGGGGTGGGCAAGCAGCAGTGGCCGTAGCAACAGCATCTTTACAAACAGAATTTGTAAAGCTCATTCAGTCATTCAACACAGATATATTGGACCCTATTATGTGCCAGGACCCATGCTGGGCAAGAGAAAAATGGATATGAAGAAGATTCCCTAAGGATTTTTCCTTTTTGATACAGCTCCTACTCTCACATTAACTGAGAGCCTGAGCTGTAAGAAGTTCCAACTGATGTGTGGGATTCCCTCCACATCCCCACCCCCAAATCTTGTTTGATCATCACTTTCCAATGAGGGGAGAGAAGATCAGGCAGCAAGGAGTTTTGAGCTCTTGGGTGTGCCCAGCGTGAAGCTAGGAGCCAGGAGGGAAATCAGGGAAGAACGGTCTTCACCTTCAGGGAGCTATCAGACAGATGCCCAGCTCTCCTGCTTTGTATCTGAGACTTTCAGCATCAATTAAGTTCCTTATGCCTTGGTTTCCTCATCTGTAAAATGGGGGGGATAATAATAGGGCCTTTCTCATAGATTTCTTATAAGGATTAAATGAGATAACCCATGTAAAGGGTTTTTCTATAGAGACCTGAACATAGTAAGCGCTCCATAAAAGGCATTGTTCATTTCATTAATAACAGTAGGGCAGTGTCAGTTATGAGTATCCAAAGGTATCAGAGGGGCGAAAAAAAGGGTAGTCAGGGAAGGCTGCCTGGAGGAAGCGGCACTAAATCTAGCCCTCCATTTTGATAAAAGACTCCCAGTATCCCAAAGGGCAAGGACCTCTTCTGTCTCTGGTACTCTGCATAGTGCAGGACATGGAGTAAACCTCGGGCATAGAATGAACACCAGCTGGTGGACTGGAGCTTACAAGTTGGCAGAACCCACCACCATCTTGGCAACTTTTTAGTCGTGTGATTTTAGGCAAGTTGCTTAACATTACCGAACCTCAGTTTTCCAATGTGTAAAAGGTGAAGAAAAATAATGCTTACGTCTTAAGGCTGCTGGGGGGTAGGGTATGGGATCAGGGTACGGTATAAAACAAAGTGCCATGTATTCCGTACAAAAGGTTGGCCCTGGCCAGTGTCAGTACTGATGGAATGTTAGCCTGGCTGTGGTGGCAGGCTGGTCTGTAGAGAAATGCTCTCCCCTCCTCTCAAGTACTCCTGACAGAAGGTACCAGAGAGCGAGGGCATGACATGCCTTCTTCTGAATTTAAATAAACTTCAGCCAAAGAGTCACATGTAGTCAAATACGTGGGTTGTTTTTTGTTTTTTGCTTTTCTTTAATCTTAATCTGCCTTCATCTTAATGTGTCTGTTTCTTTTTGGTTTCTTAGAGCCTGTTTTTACCCAGGCTCTGTTTTGACCCTGACTCTGCTCTTAAAAAATTTAAAAACTCCCCCTCCGTTTCACTTCAGCATCAAACAGAAGTCATAAACATGGGTCACCTGTTTCGCAGTGTTAGGGGGAGGGTTACGCACAGAACACCGTCGCATCGCTAGGAACCTCTGGTTCTTTCAGACAAGTGCATGCAAGCACCATGATTCCTGGGCAGGTGGAGGGCAGAGGAGCCAGGACGCCGGAAGCCCCCCGGTACACGAGGCCACAGACACGCATCACCTGTACCCTCCCCCCCCCACTCCACCCAAGAGAAGGAAGCAGCCTCTGATCAGACCACAGACATAGGTAGGCGACGCGTCCTGCCAGACACCCAGCTGTGCTTTTGACACAGGCTGCGGTTCCAGGGAATCGGCCACCCCGTGTATCAGCAGAGGGAGCTCTAGGTAGCAGATAACTTTCCTCTGACAGCATACTTTCCTGTAGGAAAGATCTGGAGACAGCAAGGAAAAGCAGGAGTCCTAAGCGGAGCTGCCATCCATCCTGCGCCGAAGGGACCCCCAGCCATCTGCAAGGGCAGCGTGTGCGGGTGGGGCTGGG